GATGAGATCCACACGAGTTCCCACGAGTTCCCATGGGTGTAAGGGCAAATTGCCATCCCTAATCTTGGACTCTTCCTGACCCTGTTGCACACACGCCTCATGGCCCACGCATCATGAGCCACATTCTTGTGGGCTTCTTCTCTTTTTCTTTTTTTTTTTTGGGGGGGGTGGGGTGTGGGGGGAAATCTTATGGGCTTCTGCGTTCTGCTTCTTTATTCTTTTTATAATTTTATTTTATTATGAGTAAGAAATTTATAGTTTTTTTCTTTTTGTTAACCTATTACAAATTGAGGTGAGGAATCGAACCCAGGGGTTGGGAGTGCATCTATCAAGAATAGTAAAACCACTAGATTGAGAAGTTTAGGTGTAAGAATTTTATTGTTTAGATGCATTAAATTATAAAATAAAAATTATAAATATGAAAAAGCAATCTTAATATTAAGAAATTCATTCATATTCAATAAGTTCAAGACTTGGTTTAATATGTATGTGATTTTTTTATTTTTAGTTTTAATTTTTATAAATTTTGTAATTATTAAAAACCAAAACTTATCATTTGCATAAGATGAGTTTTAATATTATAAATAAAAAAATTGTTTACTAGTATTAAAATTATTTTTATTTTTATTTCTTTAATAACTACGATAATATATTGTAAAAACATATAAAAATAAATGAGCTTTTTTTTTAGAATTACAAAATTTATATAAAAAAATAAAAATTATAACTATACTAATTAGAACCTAAATTGTGCAATCTGAATATATTGAGCTGCACAACAATTTTTTTGTAGTTTTATTTCACATTGCATAATTAGTTTTTTTTTTTTTTTTGAAAGGAAAAGCAACTTTTGGCGCGTCACAAATTAATTTTACATCAATTACTTCGATGGAATTTTTTAATTTATATTTTTAAGGTACAAATTAAAATATATTAATTATATATACTTTTTCATTAATTGTTATAAAAATAAATAAAGTTGATTTTGATTTTATCAACAACCAAATTAAAATTATACACGTTTCATGGTGACAAAAATGAAGGTTTTTTTTTTAACCATATGTTAAAAATAAAATTCATTTGTGTATTTTTTTATAAAAATTAATAAAAAAAAAAGTGTAATTAAAAGCTGTTAAACAAACCATTTTCAAATTTCTAAAACACAAAAATGAAGGTTTTTTTTTTAACCATATGTTAAAAATAAAATTCATTTGTGTATTTTTTATAAAAATTAATAAAAAAAAAGCGGAATTAAAAGCTGTTAAACAAACCATTTTCAAATTTCTAAAACATAATTTTCTCTCATCAAGTGGCATTAATTATTAATTTTTTCATAATACAATTATTAATTAATGAATTTTGCAACCGTTAACCGTCCATGTGACAACTATATATATATATACTAGGAATCTCAATTCGTAGCTGTCCAGCCACGAGTTCCCTACCTACCTTACTTCTAGGAAACGAATGTGTCGAAATTAAGATTAATGTTGAACCTGGTATTGTGGTCCAATGGTTTAATTTCAAGACTTAAATATTTGGGTGAGGTGGTCGGAGTTTCGAACTCCACCACCATCGTGAACTCCACCAAAAAGCAGCTTGATAACCGCGCGTCTCATTTGAAAGGATGGAATGTTCACCCGGTCTGAGAACCAGTTGCTAATAATTAACTCATTAACTTCTTAATTATTATCTTTGTCAAAAAAAAAAGAAAAAAAGAAATTAAGATTAATGTTGATGGAACTGTGCACTATTCTAGCTAGGTGGTATCTAGTTCAGAGTTATCCAGAATTTGTCTTGCCATGGAAGCTGCAAGATGCAAGGAGAGCAACATAGGTGGCATTAGGGGTGGTCAATCATAAAAACAAACAAATATTTTACAACAGAATTTATGCTTAAAAAAATTCACACTAAGTAAAAACTTAAATGTTAAATATAAAATGAATTTAGAACAACAAGTTAGCCAGCTAATAAAATAATAAAAGAAAAAATAATAAAGGTTGTCTAAATGGTTTTTTAGATTTAAAAATAATTAATCAATTAAGTTGAGTTAGATTGAGTTTATTGTAAAAATAATGATTAATTGGACCAAATTTTAGGACCAAAACTTAAGATCAAAATTTGAGATAAGTGATGCAATATAAATTACGTTACTTAAAATATTAAAAAATTTATATATTATTTAATAATTAAATTTTTTTATTTTTTTTAAATTAATAATATTATATATACCAATTAATTTAATAATATACATAATAGAGACTTTAATTCAAAATTTTCATCCACTCTAACATTACTTTTATTGTGATTTTATTGTATTTTTTATTTTTACATTTTATGGGGAATGTGGATTCCATGAAGCGGGAGAGCTCATTTGCCCCTTTGACCACCTATGGGAAAGAATATTTCTGCAATCTCCATCCCACGCCGGAATGCTTGAAGGGGTAAATTGCATCCTTAGGGCTGGACTGAAAATAAAATAAATGTAGGGGCTAATTTAGATGATATTTATGCATAAGGAAAAATAATGGAGAAGATTGTAAGAGTAAGAGGGACACAATTGCAATCTAAAACTTAAAAGTGGGTTAAATCTGTAATTTAGATATTTGTTAGTGGTCAAAACATAATATAACACAAAATGCAAAATGAGGATTGCGCGGTCCGGAAACAGATAAGATCACAGAGGTGAGGGGCAGAGAGTGAGGTTTTGGGGTGCGGGTGGCAATGGCATCAGCTACAGCAGCGACTATCTCATGGCTTCACAGCTTCCGGGGCACTGCTAACGAGACCGCAAAAGTACCCGAAAAAGCCAATTCCTTTAAGATTATAGCCCAGAAGAAGGCCAAAAAGACTCGAAAGGTGAAAACTTTACATTTGGGGTTATTCATTATTTGTACCCATTATAACAGTTTGATTTTTGAGATAATTTGATGAAAAGAAAGGGTTAACTTGCAATGGATTCTTATTCCTTTCCTGGGCTTATTTTTTATATATTCCTGTGTGCCCAGATAATCTTGAAGGAGGATGTGGAAACCCTGGGAAAGAAAGGGCAACTTCTGGATGTGAAGGCCGGATATTTGAGGAATTATCTTCTGCCGCTGGGCAAGGCCCAGCTTGTCACTCCTATTTTGCTCAAGTAATGCATGGAAACCAATACCTCTTTTTTTTTTTGGTAAATTTTGAATTTGTGTTGCAGCTTCTGTTGTGTCTGATGTAGTAAGTGTTTTAAAGAAACAAAAATGATAGCTGATGTAACGGCCATTGGATAGGGAAGTCTAGTTTATGAAATTTGCAAATGAAATATGGAATGCAGTTCTGTATTTTATAGTGAAAATATTTTACTATTATGTTTTGGAATTAATACTTGTATCTGTGCTTTGATTTATTGTAGACTGTTTGGGCTCCTTGAAATTTTGTGGCAACTTGTTATAGTTGAAATAAGTAATTTTTATCATTGGCATTGATCTTGGAGAAAAGTATTTCTCAATGGAGATGAAATTATTCTGATTTTGCATACAAGAGTATTGGGATTGACTGCATCTTCAACTGTAGAATAAGCTTGTATTCTCCTAGAACAATTGTTCTTGAAAGTTCCTGTTGGATCTTTAGTACCATCTAAGATTGAAGGGATTTCTTTTTTATTGAAAAGAGAAAAAAAGAAACATCTGGCTGATAAACATACTTGTTATATTACTGAAAGAAGAACGTAGGTCTAATTTGGATCCGAATTGATGTCTTCCTAGGGAAATGAGAATGGAGGAGGAAAGGATTGAGGCAGAGAAGAAACGGGTAAGTTAATGGTTATCTTCTTTTGCTAGACTACATTGTTTACTTTCTGTGCATATGATGCTTATTCTACTGTGTTAATGTCTCTGAAATGAAACTTCTTACATAACTTTGTTTTTCTGCAGGTAAAAGAAGAGGCACAGCAACTTGCTCTAATTTTTGAAACAGTTGGAGCTTTCAAAGTAAAGCGTAAAGGTGGAAAAGGAAAGCAGATTTTTGGAAGGTGAATTGGATCCAAATCTACAGTAAGCATTTAAAAGTTTTGTTTTTCCAAATCTAATTCACTGTCTTACATTTAATTGATTTTGGCAGTGTTACTGCTCAAGATCTTGTTGACATTATCAAGGCACAGCTTCAAAGGTACCATCTTCAAGCAATCTAGGATTATAATAAAAATATTTGTCAACCTATTCAGAATGTGCATCTGTCATTGCCAGTTGCAACTTACAATTGAACATGAAGCTGGTAAACTTTTGCTAGTTATTATTTCAATTCTGTGGAGGGATAACTAGCATGAAAAGATCTTTTCTTTTGTCAGCTTGATTGCAGGCAAGCATCATTTAAATTAAAATCCTATATGCTTACATGTTTGAACATCCCAGCTCTTGGAGTCCCTATTTGCAATGCTTATTACTGATCCAAAAAATAAAATCTGCATTGCTTATTAATTTTCCATGTAACCTGTTTATTTATTATCTCTCTTTCATTTCATTGATCTGTAGGGATGTGGACAAAAGAATTGTTTCCATTCCAGAGATCAGGGAAACAGGGGAATATATTGCGGAACTGAAGCTTCACCCTGAAGTTACTGCTCGAGTTAGAGTGAATGTTTATGCTAACTAAGGACAAGCACCTTTTCTATTCCTGCTTTTTAATGGACAGTGACAGAAGTCACTTGTGTAAGTGTAAGGTATGTGAGCATCTAATAACATTCCTCCAACTGTGTGGAAGTTATTTTTTCTTGTTCTGTGCTTAAGGATTGATCTTATCAAGAACATCCTGAAATTGATACCAATGAAATTCAACTTGCAATATTGAAAAACAGCCAGTAACTCAGGATAGAGAATCTCAAAAAGATGTACATTCTTTTTTAAATGTGTACTAGGATGCTGAAACTTGAAGGAAAAGAATATTGACATGAATTTCTTTGTTGCATGATTGCAGGGTGAATGTGGTTAGGAAAGCATGAGATTCTGAATGGAGAGTGGCTGACATGTAAAATTCTTGTTGTAGACAGTAGGTGCACATTACCATTGTGGAGCAACTTTTTATGAGTGTCATTCATTTCTTGCAGAATTTGATTCATTTGAAACTTTCTTTTATATTGAAAACAATGTATTGCAAGTTTTGCACATATCTCTCCTCTATCTTTGCATCTTTTGATGGTTGGTCCATGGAACTCTGGTTTTGCCCCCCTCATCTTTATCCCTGCTCTGCCTGTCCGCTGAAGTAAATGTTACAGAGCAATGATCAGTTGTGCAAAAAATTTCAAGTCTTGTGACATTTAGAAAAGTTCCATACAAATGCTTTCTGACTCTTCTAAAATAGTAGTGATGTTGGAGGGGACAGGAAGATCATTAATGGGTTGAAAAAAAGGTAAAGTCAATTTCGGTCTATTAATTTTTGGGCCGGATCTCTGCAAAATTTAAAGAAAAAAAATTTAGAAAAGGAATACACAAAAAGATGTTGCTGCCCAGGATCGAACTGGGGACCTTCAGTGTGTAAGACTGACGTGATAACCACTACACCACAGCAACTTGTTGTTAGTAATTGTGCTATGATGCATTATAATAGAATATTGTTGCGTTCATTCCAGCTTCAACCGAGTATCATTTTCTTGTGTTAAAATAAAGCAATAGTTACTCAGCCAACAGTTTTCCTAGGTTACAGCTAAACCCATAAGCAATGATGCACAGTTTAAAGTAGGCATATGGTTGGCTTTTGGACTAATGACGACATACTTCTCATTTTGTAACTACCATGACCAATGGAAAGAACCAAACTAGCTAATTAAACCAAACTTGTTATTAATTAAGCACATTATTAGGTGGGCAACACCTCTCATCACCAAAAGAAAAACTAACCGCACAAAACCAAGACCTGAGACTAATTAGACAAGTCTAATAATCTCTAGGATCTAACCCATCATGAATGTTTTCTATTCTGTTCTGTGAGAGCAAAGCAAACCTAATTTTGAGACTTTTGGAGACTCAATCTCAATTGAATGCAAATTTGACTAAACCAAGTCATTGGATAGATGGGGAAGTTTGATTAACACCATTATCAACTACCAATAGAAGATTCATTTCTAGATAATACCAAATTAATTAATAATTAAGTCACAATTAGTCACTTGGCTAGCTCAAACACCTTGAAAGCCATGGCTGGTCTGGTCTTTATCACCAAACCATATGTGAACGTGAAGTACTAAGCCACTAAAAAAGACAAATAGTTCAATTGAAAGCAACAGAAAATAAGTATGCAATGAGGTTCCCCACAACCATTCATCTAGTTGTGGAAATTGGATGCCATGCCTTTCAAAGTTATCAATTGTCCACATGTTACACTTTGATTTCAATTTTCAAAAACACCCCGTTTATTGAATAAGTCTCATATTCAAACCTTTAAGAAATGACAAATTAGGATAATCGTGACATGTGAGAGTAGGTTTGAAAAGTTTAGAGAATGACCAACTATATGTAGGAGACTTAAATTCAGGCCTCTTAGGTCGGTTGAGTAGGCAATTGGAAGGGTTACTTTTGAATACGAGGCAAGCAAAGAAAGAGGGGGGAGGGGGGGGGGGGGATTGTATTTAAGTTATACACCCTTGGGAGCAATAGAATAATTAGAAAATGAGAATAATGGGGGAGGTTACATATGAACCTAAAAGGCTAAACCTCCGCCGACTCCATGTGCCAATGTCAATGATCATCTCTCATTGTTCTTCAACACCTCACGCAAGCTCTCACATGTCCTCTGCCTTCGCTTACCAACATTCACCAAAACGTGCACATAACAAACTCCGCACACAATTAAACTCAAAGTGTAAGCAACTCAAGTAATTATAATTTCATAAATCAAAATTTTAAAAAGTTTCAAGTGAAAATTATTTAGGTTAAATCTTTAATTTAGCCCCTAAACTATTGTATGGACCCTCAATTTGATCCTTGAACTAAAAAAATCTCTGATTTGGTCCTTAAACTATTGTACGGACCCTTGTTTGGTCCTTACTGTTTACCAATTTACCCCAAATTAATCCTTCCGTATAAAAACCAATTGATGTTTTTTGTTATTAATGTGACATATGATCGTTAAGTTACTGCTTTTTGTTATGAAGTTGCTATTTTTGGTCGTTAAGTAATAAATATATTTTAATACGGAAGGACCAATTTGGGACAAATTGATAAACAGTAGAAACCAAATTAAAGATTCATACAATAATTCAGAGACCAAATCAATAATTTTTTTAATTTAGATATCAAATCAAGAATTCGTATAATAATTCAATGATCAAATTGTGGGGTTTAATCAATTATTTACTAGAACAAATAGAAAAAAAGAGCAGCGAGGAAGGTATCATTCCAGGGAATATCAATCGGGACCCAAGTGCCCTAGGGATCACGACAAGATAATTAAGTGACTTGAAAAGTAAGGGAGATTACGGTTGGTTAATTAGGTGTAACGGGTAGGCCTTGGACAGAAACAAAAGCTGGACCATTTAAAATAATTATAAAAAATATATTTTGAAAACATAAAAACAGTGGTGGATACAAATGGCATGGGCAGTTACCATATCATCAGCTTTCTATCCATTTATTCTTTGTCATCTATTGCAACTTACTCTCAACTGTACTTGAGCTCGTCAGTTTCCCTTTCTTCAGTACCCTTTTTTTTTTTTTGCCCCTTTTTTCCCTTCAGCCAAAATCCCACCAACAGAAGAACCTAATCCACCACTTTTGGTTGTGGTGATGCTGCCAAAACCCTTGCCCAACCCATTTCTCCTTCTTTCGCTCTCTACCATATGCATACAACCATCATAACTCCCTCCTTTATTAATACGGTTCACTTTAAACTATTAAATTTTATAATTTTAAAACATGTTAATAAACATTAATAGATATTAATATATATATCTAATATCTCTCTTATATTTTGTTAATGTGAAATTTATCAAAAAGTATCACATATAAATATATTTTTTTTATTAAAGTAAGTGATTTGGGAGAAGAGGGTAAGGAGGGGAATTGAACCTTTGCCATGATGAAAAAGACTTATATTAAATTGTTGAGTCACTAGGTTAGCAGACTTTCTTCGTATCACATATAAATATTAATATTACAATTTTAACTATAAAAAGAGTATTAAGTAAAATATAATATAAGTCTCATTCAAGCTTTATTGTTATATAATATATTACATGTCCACATGGTTTTCTAAATCACCGTCTTGAGAAAAAGAATGGTGGATTCGAGTTATCTACTCTACGTGTATTGTGTAATGCACAATTTTTTTCTTTCTTGTTTTTTTTTGTGTGTGGAAAAAGGCCATTTTCTAAGATTAAAAAAAGAAAAAAAGAAAAAAAAAAGATGCCCTCCATCACTCACTTTTCGTGAATGAAAGGCAAGCATGAACACTAACCACTTACTTACTCAAAGTATTCAGCTTCAACAATTAGATCACCCGAAGGTGTGAAAATGCTTTGGAAAAATAAGGAAATTAATTCAAAGAATATTCTATGTAGTGTTGAATAATAATGCGAAATTCAATCAATATTAATAATTCACATCAACATTTTCACACCGGCGGTGTGGTTTTTTTCAGTAATGGCAATCTATCAAAGCTGGTGATGAGAAAACCAGAGCTTGTTGGGAAGACCCAAACTGGAACTTAGTACCCCGGAGATCGTCTTCCGGTGCCGGAAGATTGAGATCCAAAGGGAGTATGTTTCTGGGTTTGACATCTTCGCTACCGTTGTTGGAGTCCATAGTGGTGCTTGTGTCGTTACTCACGGCGAATTGATTGGCTGCAGCGGCGGCAGCTCGGTGTCTTCTCATGTGACCGCCGAGGGCTTGACCGGACGTGAATTCGGACCCACAAATCGAACACGCATGAACTTTAGCCTTACTGTTGCTAATTTGCAGAGCGATAACCGGACTTTCCCTCTGGGGTTGCCCTCCTTCGGAATCATCCTTCTGCGGCGGTGAAACAGGGGATTTCTTCTCCTCTGCTGTCGCCTTAGGCTTCTTGTGGCTGGCCCTGTGACCTCCCAGTGCTTGGAACGACGGGAACGACCGGTTGCAGGTTTTGCACTCGTAAACATAAAATCCTGCCGCCGTTTTGTTAGCCTCGTCGGTGGCTAATTCAGAGAATTTCCGAGAACTGAACCTCCCCTGCATCTTGGTAACACGATTTTCTTCAATCCGCCTGGCTCCATCACCTCGAGCCAACATAATTAAACAATTAGCCATGTCCTCCTCTTCTTCAGTGCTCTCACAAATTTCATCACCGGAAGTGGTCGGAGATGAAATTGAATAGTAATCCTCCAGGATTCCCCTTTCACCCCCACCACAGCCACTGGATGAGCTGGAAGTCATGGCGGCAAGGCAGAACGGAGAGGCTGACCTCTGGCGCTTGGTGCGCTTGCCTTTCATCATCAGGGTCTGATCGTTAGATCCCACAAATTCCTGCTGAGCTTGCATATCGGCCGGAGAGGAAAAGAATTTGAGAAAGACGGAGAAAGATAGGAAGTATGAAGTGGGAAGCGAAGAGTGACAGAGCAGGGCTACCTTATATACAGTGAATGGTAACAAGGAGAGAAAGTTTGGTTTTAACGGGTGATATATAAAATCACTTTCATATTAATGTAGAGTGAGAAATATTGTAGAAAGTATTTAGTGTGTGAAAAGTGTCATATAAATGATCACGAAAATAAAAGATTTGAATTTAATATGTTTCTTTCATATTAAAATTTATTAAATTATAATTCGTAATTAGTTATATCGATTTTAAAATTAAGTTTATAACATAATTAAAAGTTTGGATGGATTTGTGGCTAATTGTGGAGAAACTAAAGGGTGGTTGATTTGGTTTTAATTAGTGGTATTTTAGAAGGTAAAGATGATTATTAGGTGAAGATTAGAGGAGGGGATTAGTTGGGGGGAGGGGATGGGGCACAAATAGAGTTTAAGAAGGGTTAAAAAGAAGGGTTGGTAAGGGTATGCGTGAGTTTCACACTTTGGCAGTCGCTTTCTCGTCTCATAAACACACTTAGCGTTGCATAGTGTGAAGAGGCATCAAAAGCAAAGGCAAATGCACGTTAAAAGCGTGCTACCCTCATTCACTCCATGTCCTCTCAAAGCAAAGTACCATCCCCTATTTGAGTTATTCAGAGATTCGGGTCACTTTCAAGCAAACCCCCCATTTCTTTTTAATTTTATTCCTTTATTTGGTATACTAGAAGGTGATAAGCTTTTTTTATTTTCTAATATTACTAAAGATGTATCAGCCACACGTTGGTTCAAATGAAAAAAAAAAATTTAAATCTTATAAAAAAAATATTAAGAGTTGATTTTGAATTAATTAATATTTAATATAATTTTTAAATAATATATAGGCATCTAGCACAAAAACAAAATTACTGAAAGAGGAATTTTAGTTTGTACTAACTAATTTTTTTACGTAGTTAGGAAAGAGATTTCATTTGCACTTGAACTTTTTTTTTTTTTTTTTGTAATAAAATCATCTTGATAAAATGGTGGAAACAAAGAGGTAAAATGATTGATTAATTAGAAAGCCTTGGCACCATATCTTATCAATGATATTATCAAATTAAAAATTTTACCATATTTCTTTTATTAGATAACTAGGTAATTAGCGTAATTGACTAAGAAATTAAATACATTTGTGATTCATACTCAAAGAGGGAGAGAGCTAAATTCATTGTTTCCAACGAAGCTATTTTTTTAGTGTGGAATCGATAACATTATAAACCAAAAAAGTTAGCTTCATGAAATCATTTAGTTCAATGAGAATGATTGAACATATATGTATCTTGGTACGACTAAAGAGGCCCTCCCATATTCCCTTGTATACATTATTAGATAATTTCAGCAACTCTTTAAATTAATTGGGAACCTCAACCTCCACTAACCATATGTTGCTTAATTATTTAGAAATATAATTATTTACTCGCCATGAATCATGGATTACTTTAGTTTATTAGATTTTCATTTGTGCCTTACTAGTTGCAATTATTGAAGATATTGTAGTTCCGTTCATCCTTTTGATATTTTTTTTTCCAACAAAGTGAATGTTTATTCTTTAATGGAGTATAATAGGTACAATTATATCTTTTGATTAAGAGATAATTGTTTTGTTTCTTATGTTCCATTTTTTTTAATCAGTAAGAGATTATTAGCATAACTTTGAGTTGAAAATTATTTTTTAGTATATTTATTGATCAACTATTTGATGAGGGATAGTCATCCCTTTCCTGCGTGAAGGTATGATCGAATTAACTTCTAAGTTAGCTTGCTTTTAGTGCATTAGAATTATGGACCTAATACACAAATATATATATATATATATATATTTTTTATGATTGATTGCATGACACGAGACAATTCTCTCTTGTTTCTTATTTTACCCCACTAGCATGCTATACGATTCGAATTTAAGATTTCTTATTTTCAATAGAAAAAAATTATCACTGAATTACTTAAGTTGTTGACCAAATATTTTTATTATAAAATAATAGTTTACAATTACGTAACATCAAATAA